TTGTGGGAGTGCCGCTCTGAGCTGCTTCCTTAAAAGTTTAACTCTGAGATGAGAAGATCCCAGTCTGGAGGGCAGGCCAACAAGGCCTGAACTGTAAGACTTAAAAAAACACCTCTCAGTTGTGGTAGCGAACCAACAGGGCAAGCCCAAAACCCTGTTTAACCTTCAACGTTGCAGAACCGACACCAGTTTTTATTTTTTTATTTTTTGCTGTCGTATTTTTTCTAGGCAAATTTTACGTTCAGTAGTTTACCATTGCCTACCAAACGGTAAGCTCTCGATATCACTGTCGAACCAAACGCAAGGCGAAAAATCGGCTGTAGCTGGGATCGAACCTGGTACCCTGGCATTAAGAAGCGCGTTTGCAACGCCTAAACCACAGACGCTGATGCCTCTTTAGTACCCCTAGTTATTTAGCGATGTTAAATTACATTTACATTGTTCTTCGGCCACATAATGAGAAGAGAGGCAATGGAGAACATCGTGACAACTGGAAAGATCAGTGGAAAAAGGGGTAGACGCAGACCAAGAGAGATGATCCTGGATGGACTAAAACGATGGCATTGAAGGATATCATCAAGAGAGCTGATCCAGGCAACCTGGGATTGTAATCTGTGGAGACACATGAGCGCCTACGCCAGTTTGCAGGGCACATGATGATGACGATTTTACATTTTACATTCGAAACAAAACGTACTGATTTAATGTTTAAAAAGAGTACGTCCTGGGGGGAAAAAAACAGAAGCAACTATTTTTAGCCATTCTAATCTGGCGTTGCAATTTGTGATCTCCGACGTGCTGTTTCTGCCATTGTTTTGCAGGTATCTCAAATATTTACATTTGTCTCCTTTTGCCATTCTTCGTGTCCAATCAATCTTCCCCGTGTGTCGGTTTCTAATAAAAGAAAACAGCCTCCAGTTTCATTTGGCACCAAACTGTCCAGGGACAAACATTGGCACTCTTTCCCGCCCCAAACTGCAGACGTGAAATCCGGAGAATCACTTACCCTAGATCTGCTGATCTGCATGAAACAGCCTAGAGAACAGGAACAGTAGAGAATTAGGTTTTGACTAGCTATGCTTTTTTTTCGAAGCTTGGTTGATTGATGAATCCTCGGCGAAAATTAGTCTTAACTTGTTCAGTCCTTGAGCATTTCACAGTCCAGGCGGTATTAATTAACACTTTCAGTCACATGTTCGTGGTACTTTAGCTGTTTTCATCTTGAGAAGTTTTTCTCTTCAACTCCATGTAGGTTTTCCTTGGTCCCATTTTAAGGGAGAAAAGAAAAAGAATAGATCCACCCCCCCCCCCCCCCCCTTTCCCTTTTCCCCCCAATCCCAGATATTATGACGTAAAAATCGACCAATAAGTGGTGGTCAGCGTGCCTCTGTCAGAGGCGAGGAACTAAAAGTTTGCATACAACTAAACAAAATCCGTTCTTAAAAAAGCTCCTAAATAGCATGCACCATTGTAATCACTTCACACTAAAAGCTCTACATTGAATTCCTGACTATTATCCTCACTGGAACAAGTGGAAGATACAGCAAAACCGTTTCAGCTTTTTTGTACAAGCGATATATTTTTTTTAAATTATTATTATGCATGAACATTTAGTTGAAATGCAACTGTATGTGTTCTATGTACTCCCCCAACCATGCGCTCGCATTATTTTACTTAGATGATCAATTATGCGTAGTGCACAATGGCAGGTCATGGTTACAGAAAGTTGCAACTCTGTTTGAGCCATGGGTATGTTTTCTCCACTGCGTCAGGCCGCCCATTGACTGGCCGATTGACGCCTTAGTCGCATGTCGGGACAGTATTTGGTCTGTCCCCCTTGATCGCATCAGCACTTTTCAGGGCTATTTCGTGGCGAGTGATGCTAAACTATTTTATATGGCGCACATAACCTAGTCACAATTATAACCTAAAGCTTCTTTTTCGGGGATACTGGTTGAACATGACGATTTTGTTGTTGTTATTGTTGTTGAACAAAGCAAATTATCAGATTTGGAAAAAGCACATTAAATATATGCAGTGGCATTAGTGCTCCTGATCGTATGCTTTAATTGTGGAAGACATTTTTTTTTTTTTTGACGTCAACGGGTCTTTCTAGTCACACTTAAGTCTGAGTCCGGAAAAAGTTTAGCACAGTCTACAGGCTCTGTAGCACCGGCGAGGATCCTGAAATACTTTAGATAGATTTTAACTACAAATTTTGCCCGGGTAGCGCCGTTAGACTACTTTTTTTTTCGATTTACAACTGAAAACGGATTTTTTACATACCCCACAATTACTAGAAGTCCAAGTCCATGTGAAAAAATCCCAGCCCTTACCGGGGATTGAACCCGAAATCTCTAGCACTCTAGGCGGACACCATGCCTCGAGACCACGAAGCCCCCTCGCCATCACCGTCGGTTGTGACATCTAAGCCTCTCCGTAGCACAGTTAAATACTATCGTCTGGAAAGAAAAGTAAGCACAATAACACTAACAACACCACCACCAACAACAGCAACAAAACTCAGAGTTGTTTAAACGTCTATATCACAGCGGATGCTGCATTATGGAGACGTGTATGAGAGGGTGTAAGCATGCGCGCATGTTTGTGTGTGTGCGCGCATGTGCGCGTTTGTGTGCATGTGTGTTTGTGTAAGAGGGTGTGTTTTACGTTGTGTGCACGCGCGTGTGTGTGTGTGCATGTGGGTTTGTGTGAGAGAGGGGGGGGGGGATGTGCGTGTGTGTGAAGACAAAAGAAGAAAAAAGTACAGAGTGATTCTGGTTACTGGCTTCAAAGATTAATGAGCGCATGACTTTGGAGGAGACGGGGAAAATGGCCTCAAGGGAAGCTAGACATTCTTGTTTACTTTCAACAAACATTATCCCTCCTGTCCTTCTTTCTCCCCCCTTCAAATCTTCTTTTTCTATGCTGCTGATGCTTCTAGTGCTACTACCGCTACTACTCGTACTAAGGCTACTGCTGCTACTACTACAGCTACTACTTCAGCTAAGGCTGATGCTACTATTGCTACCACCATTATTATTAAAGCTGATGCTACTATTGCTACCACCATTATTATTAAAGCCGACGCTACTATTGCTACCACCATTATTATTAAAGCTGATGCTACTATTGCTACCACCATTATTATTAAAGCTGATGCTACTATTGCTACCACCATTATTATTAAAGCTGATGCTACTATTGCTACCACCATTATTATTAAAGCCGACGCTACTATTGCTACCACCATTATTATTAAAGCCGACGCTACTATTGCTACCACCATTATTATTAAAGCTGATGCTACTATTGCTAATACCATTATCACTAAGGTAGCTACTGCTACTACTGCTACTACTGCTGCTGCTATTGCTACTACCATTTTTACTAAGGCTGCATCTGCTACTGCTGCTGCAACTATTGATACTACCGTTACTACTAAGGTGCTGCTGCTTCTAATACCACTACTGTTGCTACTACTACTACTGCTGCTGTTGTTAGTGCTACTACCGATACGACCAAGGCTACTACTACTAGTGCTACTACTGTTACTACTAAATCTGCTACTTCTACTACTACTGAGGCTACTGCTGCAACTGCTTCCAATTCATCAGCCTTGTGTTTTGTATTCTGCCAAAAAAAAATGTGTTTTATATCATTATTTTAATGCTTTATAATAGACTTTATTTTATTTGTTGTATTTCAGAATCAATGTCGAAGGTGATGTAACTATTACATCGGAAACAGAATCAGTGGACAAATTTAAAAAAAACACGGAGACACTTTGAGTCACTCTCCCAGTCTTGTACTTCCCCCTCGTCGTCAACAACTCGCCGTATCATTGAAACGGATGTGATCATTTGGCCCACCCTGTGGCAAGAGTCCAACTTCGATATACAGTTCTTTAAATTATACTACTGCTGGAATATCATTAAGACAGCCAATACAACACGTGATGAACAAACACTACATAGAAGAATTTCTCTAATCCAAGTGTAAATCAATAGTAAATCAGTGGCCAGTTAGGATTGTCTAAAGCATAACAATCTCGCATCCCTGTGTTACAGAGCTGATTAGGAAGTCACATGACAGATACAGTCATTATAAAATCAAACCACTTTTCTTCCACAAGTATGGATTGGAAAAATTATTTCATTTTTCAAACCCTGTGCCTAAATATATAATATGTACTTAGGCAATAATTCCTCTATCCAGAGAGATGGATAACGCTCGACTCTTGAAACAAGCTAAATATTCGTGTATTAATAAATCATTAAGTCAAGACGCTCAACACGCGAATATTAGTGTCTATAGTGACAAGTTTATCATAATTCGCAGTAGTTTCCACTTTTAATAGTTAAGTGTTGTGGGGAGGAGCAGTTGGCCATCCATCACTTGATGCGGGGTATTGCCTATTGTCATTCCGTTTATAAAAGTAAATATTCAGTAGCTAGATTCTAATTGAAACAATAGATCTTCAAACATCTCTGGTGCGTGAGGTATTGCTTATGACAGTAAAAGACAAAGCACTTTCAAGTCTCACACAATAGTACTCCTCAAAATTATCTTGCACCTGAAGTTTGACCAAGAAGCGAACCTGAAATTTGAGGAAACAAAATTACCTTAAATTTGAGGAAGAGACAACCCTGAAATTTAAACAAGAAAAAAAAAAAAAAACCTAAGATTTGAAAAATAACTTGAAATTAAATCTAAAAAAAAAAAAAACAGAACAAGAAATTTGAATTTTGAGCAAGAAACGAACATAAAATTTAATCAAGAAGCGAAACTGAGGTTTGAATACGAAAGGAATCTGAAATTCGAGCAAGAAAGTATGTTGTTAAAGACAAATTATCTATCTAAACATAGATTTGGAGAAGTAAATATAGACTTTCCGTTCTGTTGTCTTTGCAACAAACTTAGGGTGAGCAAATAAATAGCGTCTGGGTTGTGGGACAGTGGGTCAGGAGGTCAGTCGGTCAGTGGGTCAGTGGGTCAAAATGTACGGGCTTCTTCTGCAGTCTGCGGCGGATCATCTGAAGACCAAATATGGTGAGGACACGTGGGAGAAGATTCGAAAAGAGGTCAACATCTCGCTGAATGGATTTGCCACGCACACCATCTACAGCGAGACTCTGATGGTGGACATGGCCAATGCGGCATCTAAGGTCAGTGTTGTGGTTTTATGTCGGGGTGCTTTATTAATATCCTTCCCCAGATGACATCACGAGACAGTCCAACATTTTATAGGGTGGTAAGACTGGGTTTCCCGGCTTTCTGATGCTTTTAATGACCCCAAAACATAATATAGAACTGACTACGTCCCAAGAGAGCGTGCAGCCTAGGTCTCATGACTGCATGCAGCTAGGTGCCACGACTGCATGCAGCCTATCTACCACCCCCTTAAATATTCTACTTTCCCGTGACCCATGGATTTCCCATGTTTGAGGTAGGATATTATTAAAGCACCTATGTTGGGGGATAGAGGTTGGAATCCTGGTAGAGTAACTATAGTTTTTGGTTTTTATGTTGTCTTGCATGTTTTCCCTTTTTCCTGCAAGTTTGTTCTCTATTCCATCCATGATATCCAACTGATTGCACATGATAAACCAGAATGGAGAAACAGACCGCCAGCTCTGTGTGTAACTCTTCTGTTGCAATAATCCATTCTATCCCAGCTGTTACACTAACTTACCCTGCCTATATTTTTAGTTTATTTCTTTGAGATTGTCTCGACGGTAGCCTCGGTCAGGAAGGTTGTAAGTTCAAATCCATAAGGAGCCGGAAGTTTTCAGCAATGACTTTGGCTCTCATGTGGATCAAGCTTAAAATGGTTGCCAGGTATCATCAATGAATGAATGAATGAATAAATGAATGAATGAATGAATGAATGAATGAATGAATGAATGAATGAATGAATGAATGAATGAATGAATGAATGATAGAGGAAAGAAGAGTGAATGGGTTTTATTGCAAAGATGAATGGACACTATTTGAAAACAGAGAGGGCTGCGTGGTCAGCAGGCATGGGGTCCCACTCGCGTGCTATAGGATTTTTTTTATGTGGACTTCTGGTAATTTCACCTCGTCTCTGGGTAGTAAGATCGAACGCCTGTGTGTATTGTAGCGCACGTAAAACACCCCTTGGCAGTTGGAAATCGAAAAATAGTAGCTCAAGCGCGCTGCTTGAGTCAGAAGTAGAACGGATCACTTATGGGTTACTACCCTTGTGCCATGACGTTGACCCGTCGACTAAACTTAAACCTAAACCTGAAAACAGAGAGCTTCGTGTGCAACGTCACTACATCAAGTTTGAGAATGGAGGTGGAGGCAGTAACAGCAGCTTTCAGGTGGCTTTAGAGCAGCACAGCCCGACATGTTGTAATTGAATGGACTCGGAAAATTGAAACTGGCCACCTGCGTGTAGAGCAGCCTGCACCACTTTGATAAGACTCAGATCATGAGCATGTCATGGATTTTCTATCCAGGAAATTATGGTGTGCGAGGTAGCGAGCAAGCTTATCGATTCGCCGTTGCCGCTCCTTTGGGCGGTGAGCTACTTTATGATGAAGCGGACGTGGTGAAGGCTTTCTGTAATAAAATAAACAGGGCAATAGAGACAAGAATGCATATACTGGGAGTCTAATTCATGGGGTGTGAATAGTTCATCACTGAGGTGGAAACATAGGCGGACTTTTAATCAGGTTGCTATTGGCACTTGTGGCATGTCAACGTTTCCTTTGTTACTAAGGAGGGGGAAGGGGCACATGAAGGAATGTCCAAATGCAGCAATGTCAGTTCTTGATTGATTGAGTGATTGATTGATTGATTGATTGATTGATTGATTGATTGATTGATTGATTGATTGATTAGTACGTATAATTCGCACTAGAGTGCACGTAAAAGATCCTTACACCTTTCCCAACACTTCGCTGGAGTGAATAGGATAAGAAGCGGAGGAGAAAGAAGGGGAATAAAGACTAACGATTAGAAGACAAAGCAGAAGATCACCAGAATCACGAATCAGGTCAAGGAAACTCCCTCCCCCAGGCCACCCATGTGGCCAAGCCATTCAGGGATTCATCTCTTTGCCTTGCCCTTGCTCTTTGTCAGTCGTCACCAAGTTCTCCAGTGCATTCATTATCATAACATATCAGGCCTAAGTAGCTGCACTCACTCAGCCTCCACCCTTTCGCGATCGTCCAAGTCGACAGAACTAAAGAACAGAACTTGAACTCTTTCATGACAGGGGTGAAGAACAGTACTTGGACTCTTCCATGACAGGACTGACGAACAGAACTTGCACTTTTTCATGACAGGACTGTAGATCAGAACTTGCACTTTTCCACACGACATGACTGACCAACAGAACTTGAAGTCTTCAACGACGGGAATTCATTGTCAGTTATCACCAAGCTCTCGAGTCCCTTCATATTTCTAACATACCAAATTATTAGCGAATACTTTTTAAATGTGGGACCTCAAAATCTTCGGTCTACAATCGCAGTTTTACTGACATCAGTTAGGATCAACACTAAAGCTACGGACTTGGTGTTTTGTGTGTTAAGCTCTCGGCAGGCAGCATGCGGTTGCGTGAAGAGAGGACGAGTGATACGGTATAAGACTTGCAATTAAATGAATCCTTTTTGTTTGGATCCATTGAGCTCGTTCAGCGCTAGTCTATAATTACTTTACCCCCCTTCTATATTGGGAAGTTCAAGTATAAAATAGCTAGTGTTTGAATGCAGAGAATTTAGAATAAAAACATTATGGGGCACAAGGAGGGAAGTTAGATAAACAAATACAAATTAAGGATTCAAAGTAAAAATTGTCCTTCATCTGTGGCTTAGGCGTTGCGAACGCGCTTCGTATTGCCGGGGTGCCGGTGGGATCACAGCTGCGGACTGTTTGTCTTGTGTTGGTTTCGACAGTGGTATCACATTGGCAAACTGTTGAACGTAAAATGTGCCTAGAAAAATCACAACAGCGAAACAATGCTAGAGTTGGTTCTGCAACGTGCTTTAAAGGATACGCAACTAACTGTCGGTGATAGCAAATGTTCTTAAATGTGCACAGTGTTTGGACTAACTGATTAACGTATGATGGGTTTTGCATGGTGCCAAAAGAGGTAAACGAAGTTACTGACAGTCAATATTAATTTGTTCCAGATTACTGGCGATACAGTGGATACAATCATGGATAGCTTTGGCGTGGAGTTTGTCAATTTCGTGGGTCAATTTGGCTATGACCGTATTCTGAAAGTCCTGGGTCGCCACATGAGGGATTTTCTCAACGGTTTGGACAATCTCCATGAATATTTGAGATTCAGTTATCCTAAACTGAAACCGCCATCTTTCTTTGTTGAAGACGAAACCAAAAACGGACTCACCTTGACGTACAGGTCACGAAGACGGGGCTTTTTGCATTACGTCAAAGGACAAATTCGACAAGTCGGTCGAGTGTTCTACCACACTAGAGTGGACATTTTTGTGGTAGCTAACGACTACAATAACCAAACCCATACCACTCACGTCAAGTTCCGGTTGCTCTTTGACAACAAAGCCTTTCGGGAAGTTTCCAACCACGTGGTGGACAATATCGTCGACAGTATCCCTCTTAGACCGGAACTGTTGTTCGAGTTGTTTCCCTTTCATATTGTGTTTAGTCGGAAGATGGAGATACGAAGCGTGGGACCCGGGTTGCGGGCCGTGCTCCCGGCCGCTGTGGGCCGGAGCCTCATTGAGCTGTTTAATCTGGAGCGTCCACTGACCAACTTTACCTGGGAGGACGTGAGTAGCCTTTTGTGTCCGTTTTTGTTTGTATGTTTTTCTTCTAACTACCTTCTGGTGGCAGACTTGTAATAAGAACTTAGGTTGTAACTGGCTTTTGCTGGGGGCCCTGAATATAGCCTAGCCATAGATATGGCCTAACGGCTGGACTGTGTTTCTGTTCCCTCTCCACGGCGATCCTCATCCGCGTGGTGGCACTTTGTGTCATCGGGTGTTTATCGCTTGTGTGATATCCAGGTGGGGTACAACTACCAACCAACCAACGATAATTAGTAATAAAAAAAAGTAATAGTAACAACAGCAGCACTAATAGTAACTGCGTCTGTGGCTTAGGTGTTGTGAGCCCGACTCGTAATTCCAACATACTGCTATCGAAACCCACTGCTGGCTGCGTGGGTTTTTGTCACGGTATGGGGCGTGGCAGGTCGACCCAGCCTAAAATGGGTACCAGGATGTGATGTCCTGGGAAAGCAAAGACGACCGGCGTAATGCTAACCACATTGCTCACTGTAATGAATGCACTTGTGTCTCCTCCACACTTGATCTCTCTAGTGCAGATTTAACACTGACTCTGTTGTCTAGAGGTTAGGTCACATCTCAATCTAACTAGACGGCATTTCTCTCCACGGTCACACGACTTCAAACAACGGTTGACACCAGCTGACACATTTCACAGGTTTATTATAACTGTAGCACAAGACACGAATCACAGTAGAATCAACTTACACCATTCGGACAGTCTCGACTTGCTCACGCATTAAAGCTCCAGACATGCTTCAGACGATGGACACTGGCATATTCACGGCTGGCTCAACAATCAAACAGTGTAACACAACAGCTGGCCTTCACGATCATTCATTCGACTCTGATTCAGATCCACGTGCTCTCTTCATTCTCGATTCATCTTCACAGATTCAGTTTCACATCCTTCCAGTCTGGGGCCCAGTCACCGAATGACCACCTGATTCTCAATCCCCCAGATCTCACATTCACACGTGACTCACTCTCTCTTGTCGTTTCACCATATCTCCGTGAAACCCATGCTCTCAAGGACTTCCCCAATTATGCCAGTCATCCCCTGACGTTATCCCTATTTATGGCATCATTACACCCACCTAGTACCGATGTTCTGTATAAATATGGGTGCTCTTCCCATTTTCCTGATGCACCTGAATTGATCTTAACTTTACTTACTACTAGTAACAGTAATTGCTGCAGCAGCAGCGGTAGTAGTTGTCAAGCAGACCGAATGCCATTAGACTGAGAATCTAGCCTTCATAAGGGATAGAGAACATAGAAAAAAACAACAACGCCTTGATGAAGATGGAGAATGGTTTGGGGGGGGGGGGGAAGAAGGAAAACGACGTGGTAGGGGGAAATAGAATACCGAACCAACAGGCAAACGTACTAGCCACTGCGCCACCTGGCTCTAAATGAGCGTTGTGCGTTGTATATCAGCCTCGACATGATGAACCAGAGATCAGGGCAGTACTCCTGCCTGGCCCATTGTAGGCAAATGTAACACGCTCTTGCATTCCAGCGTGGCCAAGTCTGGCACGAATTTGGCAAGATAATCTGTGTTTCTAGCAAACACACACACACAGACAGACACAAACACACAGCCACAAACACAAACACACATTGAAAGGAGTCGAATAGGAAAAAGGGGATAAAGAAGGAGGAGGAGGAGGAGAAGAAGAAGAAAAAGAAGAAGAAGAAGAAGAAGAAGAAGAAGAAGAAGAAGAAGAAGAAGAAGAAGAAGAAGAAGAAGAAGAAGAAGAAGAAGAAGAAGAAGAAGAAGAAGAAGAAGAAGAAGAAGAAGAAAAAGAAGAAGAAGAAGAAAGAAGAAGAAGAAGAAGAAGAAGAAGAAGAAGAAGAAGAAGAAGAAGAAGAAGAAGAAGAAGAAGAAGAAGAAGAAGAAGAAAAATGCTTGTGATTTGCGTTTAATTTTCGGGACTACTTTTAAAAACTTTCTAGTAATTGATAGAAAAATATACTTGGTGTATACTGTTAAAGTGTGTAATCTGCGCGGTGTAGACTCTAGGACTCATGTGAATAGCTATAGAATTAATACTATCGGCAGATTGTTATTGAAAATTCTGTGATCAAAGTATCCAAATCTTTATCATACAAAGAGGCACTGTAGTCCTTCCTGACGAAACGCTGCATTTAAAATAAAAATTGGGAGTGGGGGAGGGTGTGGTTCCACTTTTTTATGTGGCCCCTAGTGCTTCTGCCCTATATGCCTATCCCTGGTGTACAGACGACGGATAAGAAGGACAAGAGGAAAGAGACAAAGAAAATTAAATAAACAAAAGATACCAGGAAGACAAAAAAAAAAAATTAAAAATAAATATTTATTTTTATTTGCAAACTAAGAATAATATTATGTAAATGGAAAATTGTAAATGGAAATGTGGCCGTATTTACATCCGCTTTATTGCGAAAGCAGAAATTTATCATTGTTTTCTGACAAACAGCCATCAGCGTTAACATCACATGCTTCACACCTCGCCCCTCCCCCGACTCCACCAGATTCACATGATTCACACCTCGCCCCCCCCCCCCCCCCCCGGATTCACATGCTTCACACCTCGCCCCTCCCCCCCCCCCCCCCGGTTTCACATGCTTCACACCTCGCCCCTCCCCCGCCTCCACCAGATTCACAACTCGCCCCCCCCCCCCCCGGATTCACATGCTTCACACCTTGCCCCTCCTCCCCCCCCCCGGATTCACAGGCTTCATACCTCACCCCTTCCCCCACCCCGATACACATGCTTCTCAATTCGCCTCTTCCCTCTCCCGGATTCACGTGCTTCACACCCCACCCCTCCCCTCCCCCGGATTCACATGTTTCACACCTCGCCCCTCCCCCCCCCCTAGATTTCACATGCTTCGCACCTCGCGCTCCCCCCCCCCCCCGGATCACATGCTTCACACCTCGCCAAACACCCCCCCCCCCCCCGGATTCACATGCTTCACACCTCGCCCCATCCCCCACCCCTTTTTTTAAACTCATGTCCTACACTGCTTTAATAGTGATAGATACAGGCAGTAGAGTAGGTAAGAAAAAACCCGGGAAATTCTTCTTGAGGGGGATTTGAACTCATGACCACCACTATAACAGCCAGGCGTGCTAGCCACTATACACAAATCTGCTTTGTATCCTCAACGATAACGCTCACCATCCAAGGTACATTAACTAACACTTTTAGTCACGTACTTCTGATTATAGATAAATAACGAGTGAGTTACGGCAAATCCCGGTTCATTTGGGGTCGGGCACACACACAGCCAGGAGGTCTTAATTAAACCTGGACTCATCTCCTCTGCTGAGGTCAACGACCTTCTTAAGATGAAACTGTTTTTTTTTTTTTTCTTTCAAGAAAGTAAATCGAGTGGGTTGACTACTGAATGGTTGTTGATTTCACAACTTGATCAATTACCTGTGTATGTGTGTGGTGTGAAATTATTTGCCCCATCAAGTTACTTTCTCTGTTCTTAGTTTTCGCTGCTTTTGTGTGTGTGTGTGTGTGTGTGTGTGTGTGTGTGTTTGTGTATGTGTGTGTATATTTATGTAAAAATATATATGTGTGTTTGTATATATATATGTGTGTGTAGGGGTATGTGTGTGTTTGTGTGAGTGTGTGTATGTGTTTGTGTGTGTGTGTGCGTGTGTGTGTGTGTGTGCGTGTGTGTGGGACGTGTGAAAGTAGCGGAGCAGCAAAACACCTGGTTTTGGTGTGCGCGCAGGGACGTTGACACACAGAAAACATTCAGAGGCGATGCCTCAGCTGCTTTATTCATTTTCTAGGTGCCAGGGATCTCAAGCAAACAAAGCCTTGTTTAAGTACACACTAATAATATAAATACTATAATAATAATTATTATAACGTGGTGACTAGCAACATTAGATGGAAAACCATATTATTTGTGTGTGAGAAATAGTCTGTAATGTAATAAAGTCTTAATTACTTAGGACCTTTTTCCACGGCCACTTTAGTCGGGGACGTTTCGGGAGGACAAAAAAATTTCCAAGAAAAAAAAAATTCCATCAGCGTCCGGATTTGAACCCACGGGCTTCTGATCCGCAAGCGAACATCTAGCCGCTACACTACGGCAGCTCCCCATACGCAAACACTTAAAAGAAAATTTTTGAACATGGTTGCCTTTCGCAAATTTTCTAAGCAGTGGCTGAAAGAGTGTTGTTATTTTTCTTCTTCTTGTTAAACTCTTTGCCGTGTGGCTTCGGTAGTCATGTCTTATCCACACCCTTCTGTCTCGTGTACGTTTAATTACCTCTGACACAGATGATTCTCCATGCCATGATGTCAAACTGTCCAGCATCTGTTCTCTCGATCTCCATATACCTCTCCTCCTCTCCAACTTTCCTACCGTCCCGATGTGCGCTAGTTTTTTTTTATTCTCATCACATGAACAAATAATGTAGCTTGTCTTTTTTTTTTTTGGTGTGGGCAATCAGTGCCTTGTGACACTATACCATACAAAGCATACGTGGAAAGAGAAGAAGGACGTAGAGCACGAGGTAGACCAAGAACAAATGGAAGGATAACATCAGAGAAACTCTACAACAGCACGATGTGCCTATGGTCGAGGCGGCCAGAAGAGCTAGAAACAGAACCTTATATCTCCTTCGACACCCACAGCGGTAAAAGAGGAAGTGAAGAAGAAGAAGAATCAATTCTCTTCATGAGTCAGTTTTTTTTTTAAAGACGTATTCTTTACTCTTTTTTATTTGTCTGGTGTATTCTCATCATTCGTCTATAAAATCACATCTCTGCAGCTTCCAAAAAGGTCTTCACTAATTTACAAACTGCCCATTGTTTATATCTGTTCATCAATATATTGCAAACTGAACTGAACTGAATTTCTACCCCACCAGGACATCACACAAGCGATAAACACCCGATGACACAAAGTGCCACCATGTGGATGAGGATCGCCGTGGAGAGGTCCCAGAAACCGCGTTCAGACATTTG